ATTTTGGCTCCTATTGACCCCATGTTCAATAAAATAAAAAACACTGTTTTTTGTTCCATCCTCACAATTGTTCCATCTTGTTTCCATCCTCACAATTGTTGCCATGTTTGAACCTATTGTTGCAGTCACTGTGTCATTCCATCTTGTTGAAGGTCTTCCTCTTTTTTGCTGACGATCTACTTTATCAAACATGACATCTTTCTCCAGGGACTGGTCCCTCCTGATAACATGTCCAAAGGATGAGAGGTGAAGTATCACCATCTTTGCTTTAAGGAGCATTCTATCTGATTTCTTCCAAGACAGATTTGTTTGTTGTTCTAACAGTCCACAGCACATTCAATATTCCTTGCCAACACAATTCAAATGCAGCAATTCTTCTGCAGTCTTCCTCATTTATTGTCAAGCTTTCGTATGCATATGAAGCTATTGAAAATACCATGGCTTGGGTCTTAAAAGTGACATTTTTGCTCTTTTACACTTTAAAGAGGTCTTTTGCAGCAGATATGCCTAATACAATAAATCATTTGATTTCTTGACTGCTGCCTTTGTGGGTGTTGATTGTGGATCTGACTAAAATGAAATTCTTGACAACTTCAATCTTTTCTCCATTTGTCATGATGTTGTTACTTATTGGTTCAATTGTGAGGATTTTTGTTTTCTTTATGTTGAAGTGCAATCCATAATGAACGCTGTAGTCTTTGATTTGATCTTCATCAGTAAATGCTAGAAGTCTTCTTCACTTTCAGCAAGCAAGGTTGTGTCATTTGTATTTCACAAGTTGTGAATGATTCTTCCTCCAATCCTGATGCAGCGTTCTTCTTCATATAGTCCAGCTTGGCGAGGTATTTGCTCAACATACACACTGTGAAAAGATATAGCCCTGGCACACATTTTCCTGATTTTAAACCATGAAGTATTCCTTTGTTTTATTTGAATGACTGCCTCTTAGTAAAACTATAAATTAAAGAGATGGAAGTTCTTTGTTGACTAGATGAAATCTCCCCCAAAAAAAGTCTTTATGAAGTACTATCCAGGCTTGACCATTCAGGGGAAGCTCAGGAGATGATTCTAATCCCTAGGAGTCAGTCCAGTCCTGTGCCCTTCTGCGGTCATCCCGGTGGGATGTTTTCTACCCTGTGCAGTGATTTAAAAGAAAAAAAAAAAAAAACTGATGCTTCCTCGGACCCCAGAGGACCAGGCATGGGAAAATTGGAATCAGTCCTGAACATTTACTTTTTGCATTTACTTTTACAAATAAAATATATGCTAAAATGCAAAATAAAAACCCTCTTGGGGTTTTTAGTGACAGTTGAAATAATACTTCTAGATGAAGTCATGAAAAATTTCAATCATTTCTCACAGAGCCATGGGATAAGCCCCCTGACTTCTGAGACCACTAGGCACGGTTTCCTGTTCCATTTCAGAATCCCTCCCTGCCTTACTGTTGCATGATACTGAAATGCCTTCTGAGAACATCTAAATGTGTCTTTCACTGTGTTTGATTTCTTGGCTCTGCTACCTGAACCCATACCAATTTCAGCTTGATTATACTGAATCTTTTTTTCTGATCAAAATAAAGAAAAATTGGTGGCATCTTTGGAATCAGTATAGAATTAGAACACTATATTTCCAAATGCAGATCCCATGGTTTTTGTTTAAATGGCAATGGAAATTCATATTAAATGATAAAATCACAAAATTAAATTAGAAGTATATAGTAGAGATATTATACAATGTCATTAAAGAGGCTGGGGGAAAAAAAAACAGCTAAAAAAATTCCCAGAATTTGAAGAGGGGCACAAGATTCAAGAGGGGCTTGATACAATGTCTGGAATAAAATATGCCCTACATCAGTATTAGTTGAACTCCAAGGGCCTGGAATTCAATTGGTTTTATTTTTTTTCATTTTTTTTTTTTTTTTTAAAAAGACTACCTTCTTGACTCCCCCAAGGGTGAGGTCCCTGGAGAGGATGGTTGCCAGCCGGGGGTGGGGTGGGGGTGGTGCAGTGGCATAGAGCCTAAGGCATTTGGTACTGCTAATCAGAAGGCTGGCAGTTCAAACCTACCAGCCACTCCTCAGAAGGAAGGTTGGGCAATCTACTTCTGTAGAGATATCACCTTGGTAACCCAAGGTGGGGTCACTATGAGTCAGAACCGACTGGACAACAGTGAGGTTTTTATTTTTTAAAGAAAATATCAAAAGATAGAAAAAAAAAAAGTAGATCATGAGAGATAGAAGGTGGAAGAAGGAAATAGAGAACTTGAAACAATTGCAATATTCGCACTCAAAATAATTTCAATCTTTGTCAACAGAAAATAAATCTGGTAGCATTAAAAAATAAAAAATTCTCAGAACTTCTATTTTAAAGGCTTTTTGCCATCCTACTGCACTACAGGCCCTTTCAGAGTCTTAAGATTGCTTGGAAGCATATCACTGTTCAAACTCGTCATAAGGATAGGGTTCTCCCACGCCCCCCGCTTTGGAAGTGTAACTCTGATGTAAATCCTGCTGGGCCCAAGAGAGTATGTCACCACTTAGCATATACAAATGACTTACGAGAAGAACTCATAAACTGTGGCAAGGACACTCACTGTAAGAGTGCACTGGACTTGTATAAATAGAAGAGAAGCAGAGAGAAAAGATATGTCTGAGAACTAATATCCTCTTGCTGGAGGCATCAGGGAAAAATGAGCATTTTACCAAAAATAAAATAAATGTGTGTAAATGGAGTGGAAAATTCCAAAGGCAACGTGTGATTTTCAACATTTTTATCTGCATGTTGTTGTTGTTATGTGGCGTTGAGTCAGACCCGACTCATAGCGACCCCTCCTTGGGTTTCCGAGGCAGTATCACTACGGAAGTAGATTGCCCTATCTTCCTTCCGAGGAAGGAGTGACCTCAGGGCCTCAGGCTGTCAGCTGCCACACCCAAGGCTGGCAGTTCAAACCCACCAGCCACTCCCCGCCAGGTAGCCAGGCTGTCTCTTTGGGGGGACCTCTGGTAGCATAGCGGCTAAGGCACTTGACTGCTAACCAGAAGGCTGGTGGTTTTATCTGCATAGTCTTTTGCAATTTTAATGAAGGCTCGAAACATCCATGAAAGGTAACAATCATACACTCAACAACATCAAAAAATGAAGCCAGAGAGGCTTAATATGTTAGTAGCAATAAAATGCCTCAGAGTTTCCACAGTTTTACTTGGCTTTCAAATTAGATGTAGTAGGCAAGGAAAGGGGGTTCTCTAGAGATGTGGGTCTTTAACAAAACACCTAATTGGTAAAATCTTCACAATTAAAATGCATATCACCATCTAAGCCATATATATAATGATGATAAATAAAATTAATAAAATTCTTGCCTAGTAGATGGGTATCCTTAAATGACCAATAATACTACGTGATTTTCTCTGTCACCTCAAAATTTTAGAAACTTAGAATTCAACATTTTACAAATGTCTGAGATTATTTTAGCATGCAGCAAGGCCCATAATATTACAGTGTAAAATGTTTAATCAACTCGTAGACTTTGTTTTGTTTTGTTTTTAAATCAATTAAGAAATGTGCTTATGGACTCATAAAATCTTAGAACAAATCTTTACAAATCAGATTTAGTTGCATGTGTTATAAAGATTTCAAAAGACTACAGTCACTATTTCAAAATCAGCAATACCTATTTCAAAATTATGAAATGGCATTATAATTCCAATTCAGAATGTACTGTTCAATTCGATATAATTCTACCTAAGGAAACAAAGGAGAATAACATTCTAAAACACCCCAACCACAACAGGAAGCTGAAGTGTGATAGTATGACTACTTACTTTCAATAACCAATCTTTTCCCTCCAAAAGAAATATGTTCGCCATTAGAAGAATTGGGCCTTGCTGCAGGATAGAGTCCATTTCCTCATGGGGACAGGGGCGAGGGGGTCAGGCCACCTCCCTCTCTGGGCCAGAACTCTGGAAGAAATTCTTTTAATCCAATTAAATTGGAGCTTCCAGCCAGGGTCTGGAAGGAAATGTTTCTTTGTGGGAAGTGTCATTAGAGCCTCAATCCAGTTCAGCTTTAGGAAAAGAGTGAAAGGATATACACATACAGTGTGATAGTGGGAATTGTGTGTCAACTTGGCTGGGCCACAATTCTGTGTGGTTTAAGCAGTTGTGATGTGAGTTATTCCCACGATGGGACTGGATGTATATGCTTTGAGTAGCCAATCCATTGAAAGGGAGTTTCCCTAGGGGGGTGGCCTGCTTCCAATATATTTATGGACATCCTGGGAAAATGAGACACTCTTCTGTGGATTGGGATCCTGTTGTGCTGCCTACAACTGTCCATGAGCAAGCAATCCACCATTCATTTGGCCTAGTGATTTTGGATTCATCATTTGCTCCTACAGCTGCATGAGTTGGGAAGAGGCTCCAGCTTGACGTTTGATCCAAGAACTTGGGATTTGCCAGGTTCAATAAGTGTGAGAGCCATATTCCTAAGATAAATTTCTCTCTCTATATTTATATATAAGCTTTATTTGTTTTGTTTCTCTAGAGAACCTGACCTAACACATACAGCAAGCAAAACAGAAAAAAAAAAAAATTAGTTAAATAAAACATTATGTGCTAAAATGGAATGTGTTTGTATAAACTAACTCAAAGTAAGTTTTCCTGAATCCAAGCAATAGAAGGGATATCATACTTTGTTGGCTCAGTAAATCCAATGAGACTTATTCAGTTCCTTTAAATTTCTAGCATTCATAAATGCATGTATACCTCCACATACATATACAAGCATGCCTGTACAAACACACACACACATACACACAGACACACACACACACTTCTACCTTTTTTCTGGCAATAGTAACTCTTTCAGCATAAAACCAAGTAATTCCAAACTACTTCTCCATTTTCTGAAGTATCTGGGAAGTCTTTGTAATTGCGGAAGTGAGTCTTTAGGAATGACCAGCAAGCAGAGACCACAGCCAGAGCAAAGCATCATCTCCCTTACCTTCCAGAGGTCAGGTGATCCTTCTACCAGTTTGGCTTTGGTGTGACAGTATTTTAGAGCCAACTGCAAGCACTCAGTTCCAAATTCCAAGTCATAGTCACTACACTGGTGAAAAATAAAAAAAAAATACAACAACAACAATAATAATAATAATGATTTAGCAAGGAAAATACCATTTTAAATAAAAATAAACCTTTTGTTTCAAAATCAATTGTAAATAAGAAAAGAAGGGCCTACATAATCCACAAATGATTTAGTCAGCTACTAACTAGTCAATCATGTGATAATCCTCCCTATGACCTAAAAAAAAATAATAAGCATGTTACAATTATTATTAAGAATTTTCACTTCCTCAATAGTTTCATGTGGCTGATAAATATAATACTTTATTCCCCTCAATTATAGGTCAGTTTTCCAAATGTGTTTATGAAATGTGTGAAAATATGGTTGAGGATTGCTATATTAGAACTCTTGACTGAACAAATATCTGTTCACTATAAAGCTCAAATCCCCTATCATATTCATATCAAAATATGTTCATGTCATTATTATCTTACCCATTTAATATTTAAAATATCAATATATCTTTTTTGAAGGCTTTATAATATGAAATTTTAATTCTGCATATGGAAACTGTTCAGCTTTTCACTGTAAGAAAAATTTAAAAGTCACTTATGGATTTAGTAAAATATAAGTAACATTATTAAGTATTTTAGCAGACTACCAAAATGACTAAACAATAAGTCAAGGAAAAAAAAAAAGCTGTTGTCAGGGCAATTCCAATTCCTAGGGACCCGTGTCTGTTACTGTGTGTGTTACCATATTCCACAGGGTTTTCAATGGCTGACTTTTTAGAAGTAGATTGCCAGGCCTTTCTTCCAAAGCAGCTCTGAGTGGACTCGAACTTCCAAGCTTTCCCATTAACCCTCTGTAGCACCCAGGGACTCTGAACAGTAATATAATGTAGTTCACCTGAATTATACTCAATGAGTACCTATCATCTCCAAACCATTCTTAAGTACAAGCATATAAAGATAAATAAAATATCACGAGGCCTGCAGGCTCAGGATCATAATCTCAGACAACATCAAGGTGAATTGGCATACAAAGACATTGTTCTACATCCTAGTTTGGTGAGTAGCGAATAGGGTCTTAAAAGCTTGAGTGGCCATCAAAGGTGCAACTATTAGTCTCTTCCTATCCTGAGCAACAAAGAGTAGATAAAATCAAAGATGCATGGAAACAATTAGTCCAAAGGACTAATGGACCACACAAACCCCAGCCTCTACAACCATGAGACTAGAACTAGGTGGTGCCCGTTTCCACTGCCAACTCCTCTGAAAAGAATCATAATAGGATGTCCTGGATAGATTGGGATGAAAATGTGGAACAAAACTCAAAATCATAAAAAAGACCAGATTCACTATTCCAATACCCAAAATCATAAAAAAGACTAGGCTCACTATTCTGATACTGACTTGTAGTCCCTGAGACTACATCCCTTGGATGCTCTTCAGGCCTGGATCTAAACTTCCCTGTGTCTCATTTGTCAGCCAAACAAGAGACAATCTCATAAAATGAACAACAACACTAGGAACCCATGCACTCTTTAGAACAATCAACTATATGAGATCAAAATGGCAGGATTTGCCCAGGGATAAAGCTCAGAAGGCAGTAAGGGATAGGAAAGAAGGATGATTGGAAACAGTAAACACAGGAAGGAAGTGGGAAGAGTGCTGTTACACTGTGGGGATTGCACTCAATGTCATGAAACAAAATGTACTGTTGAGTGGAACACCAATTTGCTATGTAAACTTTCACCCAAATCACAATAAAAAGAAAAAAAAAAAAAAGATAAATGAGACATGTACTTTGTCCTCAGGAACTCAACTTTGAAGAAGAAAGCCTATATATATCAGATATTTTGCAATACAGTGTGACACACACAGCACTCTAACAATGTACAGAGTAGCCTAGTCGACAGAATACTTAAGCCCTTTGGACACTGTTATCAGAGATCCTCCAAATAAATAGTTCAGCCCAATCAAATTATAGTGAAGTCCACAGTCAACAGCTCCAACCTACGGAACTCACAAAGTCCAAATTGTCTCCAATAATTAAATATGAGCAGAAAATTCAGATTTAACTGACACTCAAGGAAAAATTCTACTATTAAAGACAAGATCAAACGACAAAATAATAAATAATTAAAGCATTTTTGAGGAAAATGAGACTATGCATTTTAATATGTGTGTGTGTGTGTGTGTGTGTATACACACACATATATGAACTCTGGTAGCGTAGTGCCTATGGCATTTGACTGCTAACCAGAAGGCTGGAGGTTCAAACCCACCAGCCACTCCTCAGAAAGAAGATGGGGCAATCTACTTCCGTAGTGATACTGCCTCGGAAACCCAAGGAGGGGTCGCTATGAGTTGGGTCCAACTTGACGGCACATAACAACAACAAATATATATATATATATATATATATATATATATACACACACACACACACATATATACATAAATAGCCCCAGGAGACAAAATATTTGCAATCATAAAATAAGACAGGATAATATTAAAAATGGTAGTAAGTAAAGGGAAACAAATAATTAGATAAATTGTCCAATATCCAAATAAAAAGCTTAGAATGAAAGAAAATAAAAAGTTAGGGAAGAAAAAAATAATTCAAGAATAGTCCACAAATGGAAGACATGAATTTCCAGATCAAAGGAACTCATGAAATACAAAGTATAATGGATAAAATGGATGAAAACATACTAAGCCTAACCAAAAAAAAAAAAAAAATGTTTCTGACAAAAAATTGAAATGGCTTAGGAACTCTTAATAGCAATAATGAAAATGAAAAGATCATGAAAAAAAAAAAAATGTTCACAATCCTTAAGGCAATTATTTTCAACCTAAAATTCTATTGTCTCTCAATCAAGTATAAGGGCAAAATATGGGTTTTTCCATACAGTCAAGTTCTCAAAAATAAATGATACTCCCCATGCACTCTCTCAGGAAGCTACAGGAGCTTAGGCTCCACAAAATTGAGGGAGTAAAATGAGAAAGATGAAGACGTGGGATACAGAAAGCAGGGTACCCAACACAGGAGAGGAGCAGAGAGAACTGTAAGAATAACAATGAAGAAAGTCTCAAGGTAATTGCTGTTCAGGAGGCCAAATGCAAAGTCAAGTCAGAGACTGTACTTCTAAAGAGTAGAGCCCACAAATAGAAAAGATGCACAAATGAAGAATTAATAGAAAGCAAATACTCTCTGAGATTTATTCTAGGTTTGAAATCCTAGGACCACAGTCTTAAGGGACAATTCAGTCAACTGGCATAATCTAATTCACAAAGTTCATATTCTGCATTCTTGTGAAATGAGTAGTGTCCTAGCAGCCATCTAAGTTACAACTGTTGGTCTCTACTAATCAGGAGCAAAAGAGTAAGAAGGTAAACAAAATCTCAGAGAAGAAACAAATCAACAAGGCTGATAGCCTACACAACGCACAGCCTCATCTACCCTGAGACCAGAACTAGATGGTGCCCAGCTACCACTACTAACCATTCTGACCAAGGTCACAACTGATGGTCATGGATAAAATGGGAGAAAAATGTAGACCAAAACTCAAATTCTTAAAAAAAAAAAAAAAAAAAAGGGAGGTGGGAGTGGAGGGACTAGACTAATTGGATCAGACTAACAGGATTCCATAAGACTACCACCCTGAGAGGAACTCTGGTGGCGTAGTGCCTAAGGCATTTGACTGCTAACCAAAAGGCTGACAGTTCAAACCCACCAGCCACTCCTCAGAACGAAGGTTGGGCAATCTACTTCTGTAGTAATACTGCCTCGGAAACCCAAGGAGGGATCACTATGAGTCGGATCCAACTCAACAGCAGTGAGTTTTGAGACCACCCTGAGATATTCTTTAAACCTTGAACCAAAAAATATCCCCTGAGATCACCTTTTAGCAAAATAACAGAATGGCATAAAAAATAAAGGATATAGCGCTCTACAAAAAACTATCTACTTCCGTAGAGACACGTCTCAGAAACCCAAGGAGAGGTCACTACAAGTAGAAATTGACTCGATGGCAGTGAGTTTAGTGTTTTAATCTGACCAAAAGCTCAACATTTATTCTACAGCAAAGAAGAGAAGATAAGAGGACAGGAAAACTAGAGTACTGGAAATGGAACAACCAGCACACAGTTAAATAGAATGCTGATACATTGTGAAAAATGTAACTAATGTCACTGAATAATTTGTATGAAAGTTGTCAAATAAGAACCTAACTTAACTGTATAAGTTTTCATCAAAAACAGTAAAATATTATTTAAAAAAAAAAGAAAGAATGCATAGAATCTCTCTGGAAGTTCCCAGAAGAAACTGACTCTGGAAAGGAAGACTAGTGGACAGAAGTGGTAGGAAGACTATTTTTTGTGCTTTTTGCCATTTGTACTCTATTCTTACATTACTTATCCCATTTTTTTTAAAATGTAATAAGTATATAGTATAATTTAGTAGGCAATAAAAATGTTATATTAATAAAAGGTGCTTACAAGTAATAGTTAAGAGTTTTGTTTCCAAACATATATATTTAATAGTTTCAACAAATCAATCTGATGTTCTATGATAATTAAGTTGCAGAATATTTAAAATTCTAAACATCTGAATTTGCAAGTGAGTTCTAGAAATAACAGCAAATATGTATCATTACTGTATTATGAAATATTAAGTCTGGCTACCATTATGGTTTACCATTATGGTAAACTAGCAATGAGATATTAATTTTCTCACATGACAAAAAACTCATCTTGATCTTGCTTTTTCCTTTCATAACAGGAATTTAAAGCAGTTTCCAAGCTTTATGTTGAAAATCATACTTTATTCATAAGTAGGTTTTGCTGAAGGAACAGAAATACATACTCACTGAGGTGAACACGGGAAGGAGCTCTGGTGGCGTATAGTGCCTAAGGCATTTGACTGCTAACCAGAAAGTTGGCAGTTCAAACCCCTCAGCCACTCTATGGAAGCAAGACCTGGCTATCTAGTTCCATAAAGATTTATTGCCTCAGAAACCCAAAGGAGGTTGCTAT